CAATCAGGCTTACCCAGATGTTGCTTAAGCAAGAAATGGTATGTTTCGGTGGCGCCAGAGCTTTTTGGAGGGCTGGGAAGAGTCCGTTGATGAATGAGCAAATCTGAAGTCTATTCATTGTCTTTTTTSACATCAAAGGGATCGTYCATCATGAATTTGTTCCTCCTGGACAAACCTTCAATGCTAAATTTTACGAGAAAGTCCTCAAGAGACTACAACGAGGTGTMAATCGGATCCGATAAGACATCRCAGTTTATTGGAAATTGCACCGCGACGACGACCCTAACTAAGGCCGCCATCCCAACGTTTCCATAACCGYCCTACAGCTCTGATGTGGCCCGCCTTAACTTTTTTTGTTTCCTTGCCTGAAAAGGTACTTGAAATTGAATCCAACCACCATGCATTTCGGCTATTCCGGAGAATGCCTTCCGTGACGCTTTCAATACTTGGCAGCACTGAAGCGACGTGTAAGAGCCTATTTTGATAGTATTTAAAGAATTTTAACGGTTGAATCAATAAATTTTTTAAATCAACTCAGTCCTACTTACCGGACAAACCCTGTATTTTTCAAAATTTTTAGCCCATAAGTGCCTCTTGCTGCTGCGATCTCCTTCGATACCTTAATTTAGTGCTTAGTTACGGCACTTTATATCATTTCGGTTAAGGGTACAACAAATCAGATATGATTGTATGATATAGCCATAGCATTATTGTGTACGTAACACCGTCTACTACATTTTTGTAGTAAATGTTTAACATCAGTATATGTTTGTACTCGAATACCACTGAACTAATTTTGTTAACATTTTGAAAACAGTGTAATATTATCCTGGCATTTCTATGTAACAGAACGAAAATGGGAGAAATCAATATAAAACTACTTTCTATATATCAATCTTTTAATTCCATTTGATTTTTCAATTTCCAATATAAAAATCAAGGGCAACCTCATGAACGAAAATTGTCAAGATCGGAATACAACTGTTCCAGCCCCAGATGCAGAATTTATTTATCCCAGTTCCTATTGAAACTTTTTGTCGAAATTATCGGTCAATCTGTGGCACCAAAGAAATTCYGAGGGAATTCCCTTAGTTACCTATTAAAAAGGTTGTCATACTGCATATTTACTATACTTCAAGTATACTACTGCAGGTAAAAASTAATTAAACTTTTTTATTTGACTTTTGTGTGAAAACCAATTCGTCGAAATTTTTTCTATGTTGGTATGACTGAAAGTGCCATTTCGCACAGATGATAATAATAATTGGTGTTAAGAATATGCTTGTCTTTGTGAAACAAGAAGTTCGATTAAATTTTGTGAGAGGATTCAAATTTTTGATACCAAAACGTTCAGAATGTTGGAAAAGGCCTTCAGTGATAATTGTTTGTCGCGGACACGTTCAACTTGATTGGTAMGAATAATTCAAAGACGGTCGAGGACACGTTGACAACGAACCACATCCACGTCGACAGCCTTAACATCTGCTAATGATCAACACAYCAATAAAATAAAGGAAATGGYCCTTGAGAATCGATAATTAATAGTCAGAGATCTTACTGAGATCGTTGGAAAATCGGAAGGGCCAGTGAAAAACATATTGAAAGATCATTTGGGCCTAAAGAAAGGGAAAGCATGATTTTTTTTCGAAAAAATAGCGCCGCGTTAACGTCTGTGAAACAAAGCTTTCCGACTACCAAGGTATCAAACAACGTATTACAAAACGAAACAAAACGGTCATGGAAATGATTAGTTAGTTAGTTTTCCCGAAATTTATTAATTTTAGGCACAAAGGTACACTCTTAGGAGTAAAACACGCACTCTCATTCTCATTGAGATAACTCACATACTGACCGATAAATGTGGTATCGAGTCACCCAGAGGTTCAAGGATAATTGTATTAAACATACTGGAGCTAGAGGAAATATTCACACGATTCAACACATTTTTTAAACACAGATTTACAATTGGCAGGAAAGGATTATCTATGAATTTCAATTTATATATCTCACACATCAATCGATTATTTCCGGTAAAAGTCAATTATAGGTACTGGGATCCTAATATTAGGTACCTGCGATCGAACAATTTTTGTCATAAAGTGACATACTTCTAAGGCGTTATCTTCCGTCCATCGGTACATCTGAGACAGAGACGTTTGATATTATTATATATTGATTTATCAAGGAGTGGTGTGTTTCGGTGGCACCAGGTCTTTTTGGAAGGCCGSGAAGGGGTCGYTGACGAAGACCRTGCTGGGAGACCTGCGACTTCGACAAACACTGACAATATGACTSCTGTGCGCAAAGTTTTAAACTTWGWCCGTCGACTAAGTATTCGTTTAATTRCTCAGATGTTAAATGTATCAAAATCTGTGGTTCATGACATTATGACGGAGCACTTGACATGTGCAAGGTGTGCGCGAAGATGGTTAGAAAAGTAGTCACTGACGACCATAAATTGAGGCGAGTGGAAGTGTGCCAAGAAAATTTGAGCATGTGTGAAAGTGAAACCCAATTTTTTAATATACATACATAACAAGTCATGGATATCTGAGTATGATCCCGAGACAAAAAGGCGATCCAAGGGGGTATCCAAGCAGCATACACCTCGAGTCTCAAAGCTATTCCGAAGAAAGCCTTCCGTGACACCTTCAATGCTTGGAAATCACGTGGTAGCGCTGCATCGACGCAGAGGAACCTATTTTGAAAGTTGTTAAAGAAYTGTAACGATTGGTTCAATAGATCTTTTTGTGTCAACTCGGTCCTATTCTCAGTCTATTTCTTCTTAATGAGTACACTAAAGAGCGAAAAAATCAAAAGAGATTCAAACTATTTTATTTGGGAAATAGGCGTGGTTGTAGTTTGATTTCCCATTTCACACCGTAACATAGAAATATTAAAAACTGTTAAGCACCGAATTTGGTTGAAATCGGACGGGCGGATCCCCAAATATGTATTCTCATACTATCTCGGTGGTAAAATTTAATTTCTCTGATGTTATTGATTTATCGCGCTTTTAGTCGTTTTTATAACAACGCCATATGGGGAGTGAGCGGAGTTAAGATCCTCTAAGATCTTCACACTGTCCATAAAAGTTTCTATAAGAATTATCTTGAGTAAATTTGGTTATTGTATATTAAATGGTTTATGAGATATGGTCATTAAACCTATTAGAGRCAGGGGCTTACTTTTTCGAAATATTTATATTAATTTCAAACTAATTAATTAAAATGAGTTGTGCATACTATACATACATAATATATATACATATTTTAGTAATGTATTAAAACACTTTCAAATAAAATAGTTTTAACATATAAAGAAGGGCTAAGTTCGGGTGCAACCGAACATTTTATACTCTTACGACTTACAAGAATCCAAACCAGAAATATACTATAATGTTTAAAGCCAATCATATAGAGTAAAGTACACCGGCTGTTAGAAAATGCTGATATTAGTTATATAGGGTCTGGGCCAAGTTTTCACTCAAAGGACTTTCCCTTAATTTTACTTATATGTATTATATATCACATATTGACCGACATTTTCGATCAAAAGTCAACTATGGATATCGGGGTCTAAATATTCGGTACTTACGGGCTTGAAGAGTTTTCATTGGATTTAAACAATTTTTGATCATAAGGTGGCACACACTAAAGACATTTTTCGTGCAAAGCTTTATCCCTTAATTTGCGTACTGGAAACTGAACGAATCAAGTGGAATCTAAAATTGTGTTATACGGGAAGTGCTTAGTTATGGCACTTTATATGTTTTCGGTTAATGGCGATTYKTGGGCGTGGCAGTGGTCCGATTACGCCCATCTACGAACTCGAATATTTTGTGTACTAAGAAACCCACATACCACTGCACGGACGGACGGACAGACAGACACACGGTCAACGGGATTTCAACTTTTCTCGTCATCCTGATCATTTATATATGTATATATACGAGTATAACCCTATATCTATTTCGCTTCTACGTATAACCGTTAGATGAACAAAACTATAATACTCTGTAGAAACTGGTTGCAAGAGTATAAAAACAGTGAGTTTTATTTTGGTCGTGACAATTAGCAGTGCCCCTAATTTTTTTTTTTTTTTTTTTGACTGTGATATAAAAATATATATGGCACATAACGGTCAAAATCAAAAGGTTAAATTGGAGATGAAAACCAAACAACACTTGCACATTTGACAACCGAATAAATCTAAACCGGTAAAATCTTCACATTCTTAGACTTCAATTAAATTCTCGCAACATGCACAGAGTTCAAAAATTTTGTTCAACAAACAGTTATTGGAAAAACTAAAAAAGTTATGAAGATTATAAGATAGATTGGATTTCGGATGTCTATCGGTCCGTAGCGATAGCTTCAATAAAATTTTATTTAATATAAATAACTGACAACATTACTGACTTTATAGCCCCTCCTCATATTTCTTATTTTTTTATTATTTTATTATTTTGTCTTCTACTTAGAGTGGAAGCTGAAACTTTTTACATAACTCTCACCAATAAGACATTGAGTTATTTAAAAAAATATATTAATTGAAGTTTGAATCATAGTATATTAATCGAAAAAGTTTAACTAAACTACACATTAAAAATACAAGTATTGATTATTAAGCTTAAAGGGTGTATATAGTACATAAAATGTATTACCATACATGTGTCATACTTTCATACTTTATATGTACTTCCCCTACCCTTCCCGTATTATCGTATGCCGAGCTTAATTCAGTTATTTGACATATTTAACCCACCCACAACACATGCCCTTGCAACTACGTGTGACAAGTTTGTGTTGGCGAATTGCTTCCTAATGGAACGTGTCACCTGTGCAAATAACAGAGTATTGTCTTAACTGCCTTAACTCTCTGCGTTTCAGCTTTACTTTTAATTGGCGAAAAGTCGCCGACTCATTTTGGAAGAGAACGACATGAAATATTTTAGTGTTTCCAGTTGGGTACATACAAGTAGTTTATTAATTAAGAAAATGTTTACTATACGAAATRCTTTTGTGTTTTTTCCTTTACTAACTGGGTTGGCGATAGCGGCGAATTCGCAACAGTTGCAAGAATTAGCCACCACCCAAGGACTCGTATGCTCGGAGCGATGTAATTTGGCTTTTCGATGTGATCCTTACTATAGCAGCCCGCCGGTGTGGACAATAATAGACAGCGTTTGCAAACTTTTCAAGACAGATTGTCTATTTGCCAGCACAAATTGCCACCGACAGAATAGCTGCTTACCAAGTACGTGTAAATGATCTATTTTATAAAACCACCCTGAATCAACTCCACTTAGAATTGACAACAACTTCACAACAAATCTGTCAGACRAAGTGCATGGATGCGTGTGAGCAAGCGCCTATAAAACCGGTGTGTGGTGTTTTTCCCTATGTGACGGTACATGGGGATCGAAACGACGGTATGATCACCTTCAAAAATCAGTGCGAATTGGACAAATGGTCATGCTGGAATTCGAAAGGTGTGTATTGAATTGACTAATTTTGTTGAGTGTGATAACACAATATTTATTTTTTATTATAGCATACATCTCAGTAAGCAWAGGTACCTGCTTTTGAAAAACCAATATTTGGTTGTGGAATGGTTATATAGATGTATTCAATAAATTTTATAACCTATATATTAACCTATATTAAGTTTCACTATAGCATATATGTAGCTGTCATACAAAATGTCCGATCAAAATCAAGTTCTTGTAAGGGAAATTTTGTATTGCGAGGCTTAATTTCTTCGGTGCATTAAATCCCATCCCCACATTTCTAGWCATTCACTGAAATGGCAGTAAATGACATTGCACTATATTTTATCGTRAAGCTTGGGTATGCGCCTAAATCTTTTGAACATGCCAAAGTAACAGTTTAAGGAGGGGAATGGCTTTGAAATATATAGTTTTATATCCCATAAGTTTTCTTTGGGGTTGAAATTCGAGGACTAAGCTGGTCAAGTTATTAAAACAATATTTTCTTAGCCAATATGGTGGTTTCTTTTGGATCGATATCCTACATGAATGAGCATCCGAACAGGCATGCGACACCATAACGTTCCATAATATCCTGAGGKACATATTTTGATCCATGATGCCATATGAATTGAGGCCATACTGCTATAACAAAAACATGTATATTTCAAATTTACTGTCTTGACCGTATAATTTGGAAATACAAGTTTAGGACTCGACAGACACACTGCCTAGAATCTTTTCCTCCAAACACGACCAGTTTCGACTCATCTACTCAGAGTATAATACAYTATACACATATGTATACATTATATTATATAACTACAGTGAATTAAACTCATCTGACACTGACACTGACACGTGAAAATCAATGACTATATGGGAGGTAGACGAAGCGGTGAATCGTTCATTCTACTCTTGGCAACGATTAATCCTTTACTAAGCTTCCTTCCACGGAGAAAACTTTTATCAAAGTCAAAAGAAGTAATCAATGTCATAAGTTTCATACTATATGCRCTTTTCAAACTATCCAATTCACTTTATTTTATTTTTCTGTTGTAGTAAACCAGCTCTACAAGCTTTAATTGTACATTCTTAGCGTTGGAGTTTTCTAAATTGTGCATCTATGAACATTATTATACATGCGATTTCTTCGCTTCGCTATAGAAAATACTATAAGACCCGTTCACGTTTTACTGCGGCTGATACATAGATAATACCACTAATGTCATCTACATGATTTCTCTTATTTAGATTATGACTATTAGTTAATAACATATAGCATTTTTGGTTGAGCCGACTTGTGTTAGTTTACAAAAAAATTAATCCATTTGGTGCGTTAATAAAGAATTGGTTTTTGGGGGAATCAACCGTGGACTGTATATTATGAAACGGTTCTCAAGCGTGGATAGACAAAAAAATCGGCAGGCAAGGTAATGGCATCAGTCTTTTGGGATGCACGTAGTTTATTATTCATCGAATAATTACTGAGCCAGTTTTAATCCATTGCACTGCGTATTTTGTTGCAGTTCTATTCTACCATTCCCAATATTTAGCAATTTCATAATTTTTTACAAAGGATTAGTTTGAAATTTTGCACATATACTTCATCGTTCCCGTTAAAATATTTCACTGCTCATGCAATGCGTACAAAAGATTTCCCTATATCTCAAATTATAATAGACCTTTTTTTCAACACTCCAATTMTTTCGCTATATTTTTATGGTAGATATTTGGTTTGTTATGGATGTATTTGCCTCCTTCGTCCATAATCTAGCAAAGTATCCGCTATACCTTGATAGTGCCATTTTTTTTGTGATATTAAATATATCTGACGGGTTTGTCCTATAAAAACTGCCAGGTTTAAGAGCACAGTCAATATATACTATATTATATATGGGTATATATAATATACTACGCATATATGGATATTACATATTACTTATTTCTCTCTATTTTTTAATTACTAAATTTCTTAAATGATTATTACAAGAACTTTTAACAAATGCTTATGATTTGAAATGCAATTTTTTGCAGATATGAATTTAATTGAATTTTAACATAATGGGATAAAAAAAAAAGTATCTTATGTCCTTACCCTGGTTCTAAGCGACCTCATCACAAATTTTCAGCCAAATCGGTTCAGCCGTTCTTGAGTTATAGCAGAAACAGTCAAAAACGCTACTGCCTTCCTCCCTTTTCCTTCCTCATCGGCAAAATGTGTGCCCCGTGAAAAACGTGGCAAAAACGCAGAAATCAGCCATCTTTGTTCGTTTTCATTTGAACAATGTTGCCATTGGTCAATACGCATATACGAGTATAGTTTTGTACTTATCTTTGTTTTCAATTACAATTTTTTATAATATAAAATATCAAAAGTGAAAACAATTATATATTAAAAGTTAGTTTATATATTTAGTTGTTAGTTAGTAGTTAGTAGTTTATATATTTATAAATAATAGCATTCGACTCCAATTTTGAGTTGTTTTAAGAAAGTTTCAAACATATTGAGCAGATTGAATTATAAAAGTTGATAATTACTACAGTATATAGATATTGGCAGCCCTGGGTTGTGAGAGAGCAATCAGCTGACACGTTTAGACGGCAAAAACCAAAATGCTGTAGATTCTCACGTCATCCGAMGTCAAAGAGAGAAGGGAGTAGCGTTTTTCACTGGGCASTTACATTGCGCGCCCATAAGATAGGTCGAATCAGCTGACACGACCCACGATTCTGGGAGATTTAAAAGCCTTCATAAGTTTTTAAGCATATCTGTAAACTTGATGGGGCTGCCCATAAATTTAAATTTTCTTATATGGAAAGTAGGCGTGGCGTTGTGAGAACACTGTAAGATAAGAATGCCTGGATGTGTAAAACTGAGTTTGGTTGAAATCGGTCGAGAAAGTATATATAATATATAATTTTAACTTAAAGTCGTGGTGAAAGAGCGGTGGTGGATGGAGTCATTTGTGTAAGTTCACGCAAGTAAGGAATGCTTTCTGAGCGCCATTCACTTGGGAGGGGCCAGAGGTGATTTTTTTTTATATATGGCTCAAGCAGTTCATGAMATCCGGTCCTAGACAAAGTGTTCTCTGGGTAGCCAAAAAACATCCGTTTGAAGGCGAGCTAAAGTGAGAAAGCGAAACATCCCCTCCCCAGCTAGGGCAGGCGGACGCAGAGGAAGAAATTCACTCCGTTGGAGAGATCAGGTGGAGAAAAACCTGGCTGCACTTAGTATATCGAATTGGCGCCAAATTGCGAAAAGAAGAAACAACTGGAGCGCTGTTGCAAATTTGGCTAAAACAGTGTAAGTCTTACTCTTATAAAAAACCTTCATACCATCTGGGGAGTAAAATGTAATGTCTCTAACATATTTATTTGTTGATTAAATCGCATTTATTAAATTTTAACAGTACCTCTATGTGGGAAGTGAGAGGGCTTATCACAATATTTCATCCATTTTTAGTGTCAGTTGGAGTGCTTAGGGAATTTGCCTGCGTCAAATTAAGTAATCAAATTAAATACTTACTGACAGACAAACAGTTACTTTGTTTTCAACTCGTCGCATCATCTTTATCATTTATATATCCAACCCGATCATATTTATGTGATGCAATCAACCGTTCGGTGAACAAAACTAATATAGTGTTGGAAAGGTGAGATTTTTTTGTGTGTGTTTTCTTTTATTTGACCAAATGGCAGCGATTTTAACAAAAACTAGCGAATTTATTCCTTTTTTCGATAGTTTTTCGTACAAAAAATAGGAAGATAAAAAAAATAAATAAATACTTCCATAGAGCGATAGAATCAATTGCTCGGAAATTTCACACTGAGACGATCCCTTAACCAAAAAAAACTAAATTCGGGTATGTTGAAAAAAAGTTACAGCTTTTCCAAAATGAGTGAAAATAATGAAGAAATTCGCTATATTTTGAAATTTTTGTATAAAAAAGGAAAAAATGCCACGCAAGTCACCTATACAATTTGTGACGTTTACGGAGACGATGCTGTATCAATTCAGGTAGCACAACAATGGTTCGCTCGCTTCCGTTCTGAAAATTTCGAAATTTCGATTTACACTGATGAAAGTTTTACACTAATGGAATAAARTCTCTAGCGGAAAAATGACAAAAAGTGGTCAGCCAAATTGATACATATTTATTTATTTATTTATTAGTATAAACATAAAAAAATAAGTTGAAGTTCGATTAGCAATACGAACAGACTTTTTCGGCTACCCAATATTACACTCTGCAGCGACCTGTTAGAAATTACAMTTACTTAAATTTTTCAAAGAAAATCAAATATACGACGGTATAGCGTTTAAGTATGAAGTAAGCCGCGGAAAAATTCAAATTCAAGATCAGCTGTTGTCATCAAATGAAATTACTTAATGGACTATCCAATACATATACCATAAATGATCTGGGTGAGGAGACAAGATGACATCAATAAGATCGGCGTTTAAAAATATTCATTGAATGATATATTCCTTAGTTATTTTATTCAAAGTGTTCATTCAGATTTTACCTTCTTTATTTGATTGTTGCTTACAATTTCTCCGATAACGTGCTACTTAAGAATTATATATTACTCTTAGTATATAGCTGAGAGCTGCAAAACTGAGCTAGAGCTGAAAATAACAAAGAAAAAATCACGTCTGGGCATTTTTTGAACGAAGTCACATTTATTTTTGTATACCCYATGAACACAGATGTATGAATTCTCCATATAAAATGAAAAATTATAATGTTGAGAATATTTACTATTAAGATGGCTATATACTTAAATGCATACAGATGTAGGAGTATATGTTTAAAATGTGTAYGTCATATATTTATGTACAAACCTAAGAGCATTAAAGCTTCTCTATTGAGAAAAGTGTAAAGGTACTGCGAACGAGTGACAAAAGCTATCTATTTAAATCAGTGGAACTGCCATTTTTAAATTATTTCAGTTCCAAAATGAATGCGATTGTAGTGACTTGTTTGTTATCACTGTTGGCTACACTGTCTGCACAAGTAGCGTCTGATTATACCCCAGCTGATGATCCACCTCCAAGATGTAGACCAGAGATGTGTATAAGAGACAGTGGCTACACTGTCTGCACAAGTAGCGTCTGATTATACCCCAGCTGATGATCCACCTCCAAGATGTAGACCAGGACTTATTGTGGATTGCAACGTTCAGAACGAAAACCTAGTTTGGTGTAAGGATGAGAATAATGAGTGTAAAACGATTTTGAACTCATGTCTTTTCGATCAAGCCAACTGCGCGCGTTACCGACTGGGACGGCCACGTAAGTAGGAAGAATGCATACATACATATACGAGTATAAGTATTCTCGAAATACAGTACTACAATTAATATCGAAGGAAGAATGCCAAAGGTTATGTGTCACTGATTGTTCCAATGCACCACAAGATATRATTTGTACTCATCGAGATGGAAAATATTGCACTTTCCCCAGCCAATGCGAATGGACGAAGCATTTATGCAATACGGGCGAATGTGAGTTTTGGATGSAAATTTTAACAATTTTTGGGTATTCTAAGCAATTTTCATTTTATTTCATGAGGGCTAATAGTTTGGTTCCAGGAGGGTCCACTTCCCTGTGGTTCAATTCCAGTTCAGTGCTTTCCTTAACTGCTACACTCTTTTTGAAAGTTGACATGAAGACAAAATACATCAGAGGAATTATCTTGCTATTGCAAAAGCCTTGCGCGGTGCACGCAAAACAAAATATACCACACCAAAACCCATCTACTAGCTATCATACATATTCAATATAGTATATGTATAAGGTACATGCGTGCTTTTGCATACATATGTACATATGTATTTCGGTGTAAGATTTTTGAATTTCATGCGTTCTTGGAAGAGCAAAAGAATTCCCCTATAGAATTATTAGAGATTATAATAAATGTGCCTACAAACCGTAATCACCTGACTGGTTTTAAGTATATATCTTGTTGTCTACCCCAGTAAAGAAGAAATAATACAACAGGGAGAAAACTTTAACTTCAGTTAGTGATACATTTTCGTGGTTCGGACAGTCTCTTGGGGACAGTTCATTGTAACGGGGTTTTTTCAATAAGAGCGCTACAAAAGTACGGTTTGGGATATCAATTTAATTCTTTGTTCCTGTGCAAGTACATTCGATGCCATTATGTATTATATGTTCATACCGTTAAGGAACAATCTTGAAATTTGCAACAATCAAAGCCGGGAAAATACATTGACTTTCAAGTAAAGATACGCTCTCTCCCATTTTCAAAGTTCCATATAAAAATACCAGGATGATATTTTTCATCAAATTGGCATTTCTAAGAACAACGCAACATAAACGCATTAAAATCTGTAGGATAGTCGAAAATCAGTATATAAGATATAGGTGTTTGGGAAAGGTCTTGATTAGCCCGATATGTTTATACATATGTATATGCTGCAGAGTATAATAGTTGTTTGTATCACCTAAAAGTAATTGAGATAGTAATGTTGTTATATGCATTCATATGTAGCTGGTGTAGCGCATGTTTTGAGCTCTTGAACTATTTAAATTTTTATATGGGTAAATAAAATGTATGTGGAAAATAAAAAAAATAGGAGAAATATATTCCTTTTTATAAATGTAGTTTGGAAAATATAATAATTCATATTTTCGGACTACTATATAATAATTGTAGCATAAATTGTAAATACCATATTATTAAATTATTATTAAAATAATAAATTTAATATGAGCAATGATTTATATTCCGAGGCTGTTGTTGCGCTTTCATTGGGTAGGTTTTTTTACGTGGCGGGTCCCAAACCCAGCGCACAACCCTACGCAGGGAATGTTTCGCCTTCTCACTTTAGCTCRCCTTCAAACGGATGTTCTTAGGCTACCCAGAGGATACTTGGTCAAGGACCGGCAGTCGTGAGCTGCTTGAGTCRTATGTAAAAGAATCGTTTCTGGCCACTCCCAAGTGAATGGCGATCAGAGAACTTTCCTAACTTGCGTGAATTTCTACACATGACTCCATCCTCCATCGTCCGGATGGACGAAAACACTCCAGCTCTGAAAGACCTCCACTCCGTTGGAAGGACCAAGTGGAGAAGGACCTGTCTTCACTTGGAATATCTAATTGGCGCCACGTAGCGAAAAGAAGAAACGACTGGCGCGTAGTTGTTAACTCGGCTATAATCGCGTAAGCGGTGACTACGCCAATCAAGAAGAAGAATGATTTTTATTTAATTTAAGACTTCGCTCATTCGCCTATCCATTTTGTATAATTTTTCCGCAAATTAAAAATATTAAACTAAATATAATATTAATTTTTTTAAAAAATGTCTTAAATTTTTTTGAGAAAGTACTTTATTTTTATAATTTAACACATATATTGTATTAAATAAGCAATATGGACAGACAGCACGTACAGCAATACAGTTGAATGAATGAATGAAGATGAGAAATGCACCGCCACCTTTGGTCTTTTATGCCCTCTCTTGACTCACACTGACTCGCCTAGGCCAAGCTCATTAATGAAGTCCAGTAGACAACCGGGCGCTAGCGAGGCAATGCGATCCCTATCCGGAAACATCGATCTAAGGGCCTTAGATCTGCGTCTACAGACTGCTGTGCAGTCAATCAGCAGATGCTCCGGGGTTTCAGGCTCCCTGCCGCAAAACCGGCAGCTAGCGCAAGAGGATAGGCAATGCTGTGCAGATGTCTATTCAGCTTGCAGTAGCCAGTGTACCATGCGACTAGTAGCCTGAGTTTGTTCCTGGGGAAGTTTATTACAATTTTGAACCTTTTCAAGTTTTATTCTCCCATTAGCAACTTGCTCCTCTCTGCCCACTCTGTCCTCCTCGCGGAGCAGCTCCTTAATGTTATGGGGACCCACCCCCGTAAAGGGTACGGCTCTTACCATCTTGGTGGAGGCTGCGGAGCGGGCGAGCTCGTCCGCCAGTTCGTTGCCGGCTATGCTTCTGTGACCAGACRCCCAGATCGGATGTACCTGGTTTCTTTCCTCAAGGCTGTTCAGCCTATCCCTACACTCCTGCACTAGTAGCGATTTGATCTCGTAAGAGGAGATCGCCTTTAGCGCCGCTTGACCATCGCTGAGAATGGCTATTCGCTCATTGCGATGGTTGCGATGGAGGATTATTTTTGTACACCGGCTTATGGCAAAAACTTCTGCCTCCTTAGTGCGTGGGAACACAATCCCTGCGCCGATTTTCTCCGATATTTTCGAGCCATCGATGTACCACCTCAAAGTACTGTTCCTCAACAACAGCTCCAGGTTGGAGTCGTTCCGTTCRTCTTTGCTACCGAGGGTAACCTTAAACTTTTTCCAGAAATTAACGGTTTTGGTAACACTGTCCCTCGGGAGGAGGGCCAATGGTACATTGCCACTTATCTTTTTCATCCTCTGGAATGAGACCAGCTTGCCTTTTCCACACCCCTCTGCCGTTATTTGCAGAAGGGAGTGTTTGGCTACCTGACCGATGACCAAATGAAGCGGAGTAAGTTCAAGCAGAACCTCCAGTGCCGCCGTTGAACAGGTGCGCATTGCGTCCGTCATGCAGACGTAGGCCAGCCGTTGTAGTTTCAGAAGCTTAGTCTTAACCGAAGTTTGCGACGCCGCTGAGGCCCAGATTACCGCCCCATATGTGATTATCGGTCTCACTATCATAGTGTAAAACTACCTTACTATCCTTGACTTACAAACCCAGGACCTTCCTGCCAGCCGATTGCATACCATTAAGGCTTTKGTCACCTTGATCAATGTYAGGTTTACTTGCTACTTCCACCTCAGAGTGGAGTCTAGCATCAACCCTAGGTATTTGACACTGTTGGTCATCACTATCTCACTGCCCCAGTGAGATTCCAGTGTTAGCAGGGTCGTCTACGACTAGACTCCATAGTAGAGGTGATAAAACACCCCCCTGTGGGCAGCCTCTTGTTGTGCCGAGAAGAATTCTTCTATCACCTACTGTAGTCTCAGCAATCCTTGTGCGCAGTACAGCTTCTATTAATCTACGCACTGGTGTTGCCACATACCTTTTCTCCAGTGCAGTGGCTACACTCTTGTGGGACGTGTTATCAAAGGCACCTTCGATGTCCAGAAACACGCAAAGCATCACCTCCCCGTGCTCCTGTGAACTCTCTATCTCAGAGGTCAGCTGGTACAGGGCAGTACTGGTAGATCTGCCCGCTCTATAGGCATGCTGCCCGTATGCAGCAGTGATCTCTTCAGCGCCTTCATCCTTATTTCCTGATCCACTATCTCTCCATGGTTTTTAGTAGGAAAGACGTTAAACTAATAAGCCTGAAAGATTTCGCCAACGAGTAGTCTTCCTTCCTACCTTGGGTATGAAGATCACCTTCTGTCCTCCGTCCTTCAGGAATATACGCCATTGCGAGGCTTTCTCTCAGCAGCCGAACTAGATGAGACAGCAGAAACTGCTTCCCCTGTTGTAACAGCGCCAGAAAGACGCCTTCCGCTCCCGGAGACTTGAATCTCTCAAACGAGGCCATCGCCCACCGGATCGAGTCCGCCGTAAACAGCTGTTTGGCGATACTCCAATCCTCACGGGATGGCCTGTGTTCGATCACGTTTAGACCTTGGTCCTCCCGAGCTGTCTCCGGGAAGTGCGCCCGCAGAAGCTCCTTGGCTCTGTCCTCCGCACTGGTCGTAAATATCGCGTCGTCGCTATTTCCACGTCCTTTGTGCCCCTGGCCAGAGCTTTCTGCAGCCGAGCCGCTTCTGGCGTAGTGGCGACATTCTCGCCACCTCGAATCTCCTGAAGCTAGCCTGCTTTGCACGTAATGTCCTTATTGCATTCTGCCCAGACCCCCGTACTCTACGCTTTGTTAAACAAGCTGCGTACTTTTTTCCGGAGGTCTGCTAGCTCCTTTGACCACCAAGGACAGCTTCGTCTGTCTGTTGGCGCTTTTAGAGGGCAACTGCTACGATAAGTGTTAATTACAGACTCTTTCAACTYAGATAGCCTAATCTCCAGTCCAGGGCCTGACACGCTATCGTCAGTTTGCCCGTTATGCTTAATTTATCACTTAATATATCCCTGAAGKCGTCCCAATTCGCCTTCCGAGGGTTACGTTGCCTTATAAACCTGTGGTCTGACAAGGAGGTGTCCGTCGAGACTCTCCATTGCGAGACCAATCCGGTTGCAGGCTCATTGCTCAAGGTGATGTCCAACACCTCCCTCCTGCTTATAGTTGAATGTGGGTTCACACACTACATTCTCTTTCACTAAGTTGCTACCTAAAATGTACTCTAAAAGAGACTCACCTCTTACGTTGCAGTCGGTTCTGCCCCATTCCGAGTGGTGAGCGTCAGCGTCGCAGCCTATGATAGGGGGGAGCCTGTGCCGTCTGCAGTGCTCCACGAGTTTTTCCACCACCTCCGGTGGTGCCGTAGATGCCTCCCCTGGGAAGAATACTGAAGCCAGGAGGAAGTCTTTGCCTTCGAAGTCCCTGGCCTGCACCGCCACCAGGTCCTGCGTCTAGAACTCTGAAATACAGAAGAAATCAATATTATTCCTGACAACTATACAAGTTCTAGGTCTCTCGCTAGAGGGATTTCAGATTACCTTGTTTGACTCCTAAGGTCTTTGACCTCTCCTCTGTGGACCCAAGGCTCTTGGATCAGCAGTATGCCCAGTTTCTCAGCTGTGAACCTGCTTGTTATGACAGCTGTGGCTGCAGGCGCATGATGAAGGTTCATTTGGGCAATCTGTCCATGGTACTGCTATCCATTGGGTCTCCTAACCCGGCGAGGAGCTCCGGCGTGGAGGGTTGCTCTGCTGTCTGACCGCAGTGGCCGACATCGGCACTGCCTGCTCAGTCCTGCATCCGCAGGGCTGCTCCAACACCTCGTCCACCTGCATTTCTGTTACCTCCGGGGCTGCCACAATCACTGCCTGTTTTTCGAAGCCCTTGTTTTGAAGAGTCGCAGGCGTTCAGCTCCCTTGCTCCCAATGCCTGCAGACCGTGCTGGACCTATAGTACAGGCGGAAGCTCGCTGCCCGGACGTACTTGTACGACTCGTCGTCGATGTACAAGTACAATATCCATAACTTCAATCTCCTCCATTTTGCCGCTGATGACGCGCCAGGACGAGATGCTGAGGCCCCGGTTCTGGTTTTTCACCAGACCTAAATCGAACTCATAGGGCTTGTCCCCGCACTGAGGKAGGAACATTTTCATGCTATGCATGATTCCGCCCACTCCACGGACGCCGCGTAGTCCTCCCCTCTGAACACCTCCTCATGGAGCACCGTGAGCTCTCCCGGTTTCAACGACTCCGACGGGTAGTTAAGATTCAGTATAGCCATGCGGATGCCTTTAACAGCGTCCGCATATCTACACCGCTGCTCCTCCAACCGGTGGGGAGCCGGTCCAGATG